ACAAGCCTTTAATAGTTATCCGCAATGACTGATCATCTTTCAGAACATTCGGTGTCAATTATTCTTTTTTACAATAATCTATGTGGTGTTAAAGATATTGTACGACATTTTGCTATTTAGCATGATACAAGTCTTATATTGGGAACCGTGTCAACAGTCCTGAGCACTTTTGAAATCATTTAGTCAATGAACCTAATGATTCTTCGAAACGTTTATTGATCTATTCAATGTTACTTATTACGAAAAAAGCATTAGGAATGCAAACTTGACTCAAAATCTCACTAGAATTGCTCTTCAATGTTCTAGAGTCCTTGTCAAGCTGATATATGAAATAACAAGAGGCAGAAAAAACAAACATAGTTTTCAACACTAGCATGAGTACTTGTTATCTTAGCCGAGCAAAAAGTTAAAGATTAATTAGAAAAATATGTGAAACAAGGAAACCGTTTTATGGTGCTAGACGTGAAAGGACTTTATTTTAGTTGAAGTTAAGGCTGAGTCGGTGATATGAGTCTGGTTCAGTTTTGCGTGGTTAGTGACTGGGTAACGCATTGTTGTGTATAAATGAAGGTTTCCTCAGGACTAAATTCACCGTTCCACACCTTTCGTATCGTTATTGACGGCTTCTTACTTGTTTTCGAGCCGCTCTCATAATATTGATAACCGCCGTGAAAGTTGATGCGTTGCTTCCAACAAAGTATGTCGCTAAGGAAGATATGGCCTGAACAAGTAATACCCGACGTACAGGATGCTTACAGTCTTGTGATATATCTACTGGACACTCAATTTGAGCGAAGCTGAATGTTTGACGAATGATCTTAATTTCAGCAGCGTTTGCGTCACTTGCGATGAAAATATGTCTTTTTGGAACGGAGTATTTTAGAGAAATTTGTTTCGCTGCCTCTAAAAATACGGTAAGATTCATTTTATGAGCTAGATCACCACGACGTATATGAATGGCTAGCGTCGCATTATGAGATGAGTTTGACCTCGATACAAGCCATCGGTAAATACGCTGTGCTTCGCTCCATACGCTCTTCACGTAGTCTAGATGAAAGATAGTCGTTGCATTTTCTTGTGCTTTCAACAATTCAGAAAAACCTTTGATTGACCGATGTTCGAATGCCCATCTACCTGTGACTAGCATGAAAGGTTCTTGAATTACCAAAGCGGCATCAATACTCTTTAACAGCATAGGTTGCTTCCCTAATATTGCGTGAGTAGAGACGAGTTTGCATGGACTTGATTGTGTTCCCATTGTGCACTTTTGAAATTTCTCTCGTAAATTGACGTAATATACTGTTCGTAAGCATAAACAGGATGTCATGTTGTTTATCTGTTGATATTTCTTCCAGCTCAGAGTCAGAGAGTCTCGACGAAATTGTTTATTCACTGCCTTAAAATCAAAAATTTCATCTAACTCTACATCGTTATATGGTATCAGAACAAGAGTTCTATTTAAATGATACGCCAGGCGCACCATTGCTGTCATTTCAAGATATCGGTTTGACAATCGACCATAAGGCATGCTAGCGATATATCTCTCTTGAGCTGTACTGATGACGGTGAAATCGATATGTTTCCAACGATATCTTGACAAAGAAAATATTGCAGCAACTACAGTAAAAACGATTGCGAATGCCGCTGTTGATAATTTAGGTAACATATATCGCACGATGTGGTTAAAAGTGGTCGTGAAATCTTTTTCGTACCTTGGGTCTTTTTATGTTAAATTAAATCAATAGTGACTGTTCAAATAATAAGAATGCGGTAGCAATCAGAGACTGACGGGACACGCGACCATTCCTATCCCGTCTCGTTCCGGGACGGGATGGGACACGGGACAAAATGTAGCAGAATGCGGGATAGGCGGGACACAATTCTTCTTCCGCTTACTTCCATTAATGGAACAAAAAACAAAATAACAGTCTATGTCGTGCATTACAATAGCGAGTGATTTTATCTCACAAGAGTAAAATAATGGTTATCAAAGCGATCGATTATTGTTTCAATACACATTGAGATAGAAAAAGAACAATATTGGCGGTCAATTTGATTTGAATGAGATGAATGATGACTAAAGGATGCCCCATGAAAAACAAATTTGTAAAACTTTGCGTTTCAACGCGCTGTTTTTCTAGTTCGCATGTTTTCGCTAGACTTTGAACGCAGTTTTTAAAACGCATTGAAACGCATCATTTAGTAACAGAAACGGATGTGTATCGACTAAAACGCGTTTCTAAAAATGCATTTGAATGCGTTTAAATGGCATATTATTGTTACAAAAGAACGTATACGAGTGATTCCCTGTGAATCATTTTGAAAGTATCCTATTTACAGATAATTTTCTAGTAATCATGGATATATTGATCTAATCTATGTATATCTACTCCTTTAGAAGTTAGCAAGAATTGTACTTGTGCTTCGTCCTCTAAAAGTCATTTTTTTACATATATTATTAGGTAAATGTGTAAAAAAAAGACTTTTAGAGGAAGAAACACTAATACAATTCTTGCTAACTTCTAAAGGAGTAGATATACATAGATTAGATAAATATATGCATCATTACTAGAAAATTATCTGTAAATAGGATACTTTCAAAATGATTCAGAGGAGATCGCTCAAACATGAACTCTTTTTAGATTGCTACAATTCGTTAGATCTAACTGGAGTTTGTATGGTAATTTTCACTTCTCGGAAGGATAGATAGGGTTAACTAGGGACAAACGAAAAGAAGGATATGGTTCGAGTAAAATAAACGGAAGGAGGGTATTGTTAGAGTATAGTGAACGAACGAAGAATATTGTTACAGTAAAATAAGCGAACAGAGAATATGGTTAGAGTTTAAAAAAACGAAANNTAGGCAAAATTTCAGGTCGAAATTCCTTAATTTTATTTTTACAGTAAATACCTAGGGATAGATAGGAAATTCAGTAAAATGTTCATAACTCTTGATAGAAGAAGCAGGAACCCAAATCCTTTTAGAGTATTTACTATCTCAATATGCTCACTTAAATGAGATATAAATGAATCAAAACGGGAGGTTACACCTCGGTAGGTTCCCTCGTTAGTCAAAAGTCTATCAGGTGTATATACCTGTATGCGTTGCAGGTTTATTGATTAAATAGTTCTTTTTTGTAGAACATTGTCTAAATTTTAAGTGTTAACTTTCTACATTTCTGTCTTGTTCTATTAATGATCCTTTCGTGACTTTTCATATTGAGATGAAACTATCAAAATAATGTTATTGGTAATTTCATAGAATAGGGACTAGAGACGATGCTTTCATGTTTCAAAAGTTTACCTACTGAGTACAATAAATGGATCATTAACACCGAATGATAATTTTGTTTAAGGGTGTCACTGTGAGTACGACCGAAAAAACAAACCTCACTCGCCCACCCATGCCGACATCGATCCTCACAATATGTGAAATAAAACTCTTATTGATTGTGGGTGTGCGTGTGGGTGTGGATGTGGGTGGGATGTGGGTATGGGTGTGGCTTTTCTCTCTACTCATACCCACACCCTCAAAAGTGCTGAAACTCTTTGGGAAATGAGTCATCAGCACCAGTGGGATCTCAATACGTACGATTATCCGGGTTGTATTGCATAACACTTTGTGAAAAGCGTGGTCGTGGACTACAGAGCCGCTTGCGATGAATTCGCTGCAGCCTTTCGAGAAATCATGCAGGCTTGATATGCTTTTCCCCAGACAGAACCATTTTTAATGAGGTTTTTGAAATGGTTTTTGAGGTTCACTACGGAACCTTTTTTCATGCAGAACCATTTGTTAGGCTTCTGCGTTTTACCCGATCGCAGAACCCCTAAAAAGGTTCTGTGGTACTCCTTTTTTCAGAGTAGTCAACAGTAGTCTTATTTTTTGCATTTTACATGGATATACTATGGGAATATGTAGTTGTAGAATTGGTAGATTGTGAGATTATCTCTGTGGTTCGTGGATTGTATCGAGATCGTACAGGGTATCAACTAAAATCGCAAAGATAAGGTGGTTGCGAAATTTGACTTCTTTAGAAAATAGTGATCATAGGTGAATGCACAACTCGCGACTCTGTTTCGACTGGGGGTAAATGCAACTCGTGTTAGCTGGCTGTCTGTGTTGTTGATTATGCGAGAATGTTATGTATTTTGCATACGTGTAATTCGTCAACGTTTACGATTTTTTGCTTTCAAATTCGATACAAAATAGTGATCCTGTGTGAGACTAGTCACAGTGGACAGATACCGTGGCTTGCAATATTATCCGATGAGCGTAAATAGTTGCTGTATTGTTAAGGTGACTGTTAACGACGATTTTTACGGTCATGGTAAACGATGACCGTAATTCATCGTAAAGGAGCGTTTACAATTGTTGTAAACCGCTAGCGCATACGGTTTGCGTATACGATACCTTACAATATTTTTATACGATTATCGTATACAGTCGCCATTTTGTTACGCTGGCCGTGAGCGGCAAATTTTTACGGTCATCGTTTGCAATGGTCATATTATGCCGTAAACCATCGTTTATGATGGTGGGGAACGGATACCGCAAACAGCTGACGTATACGATGCGTTACGATGGTTTCCGTTCCGTACAGAGTATACGGTTACCGTATTGTTACGCTAGCCGTTAACGGGTACTATTTACAGTCATTGTTTACGATGGCTGCAATAAGCCGTAAAGCATCGTTTACGATTGCTGTGTATGGCTAACGCAGACGGCTGCCGTGTTTTGTCGTAATTGGTTGGCGTACGACCGTATACTATCGAGCATGATTGACCTGAGGAAGTGAGCAACATTTCTTTGGTTTACATGTTTGGCTCACTTCATATGACCCTTACGCGGTATAGTTTTGAGTAATGGTAGCAAGAAAGAAAAACAAAACCTCCATTTTGCTTATAAATAAACAGCATCTCATTTATTTAAGATAAAATTTTGATAATTCACATCAATTATCTGTCATTATTATCAAATCTTATCTTAAAAGAATATTAAAATGGTTTTTGAAAATTTAGTCGCTTATTTACTTGATATATATTTGAGCGATTATATCGAAAATTTAGATACAAAAAAGTTCAAAGTTGATTTATGGAGTGGTAAGCATTAGTTACAACCTTTGCTTGCTTTTAAGTAGGTAATTATTATTAGGCAATGTGGTTTTGGAAAATCTTTATGTAAAACCAAATGCATTAGTATGCTTATCTTTGATTATATAAATAAGAAAATGAATTTAATTTTATCATTTTAGGCTTTTTTAAATTTACCTGTAACGATATCTTTGGGTTATCTTGGTAATTTAAATAAAATTCATTTTTTTATGTCAAAAATTTTTTTTTGTTCTTATTAATATTTATAGAAAAACTAACACTTCAAGTTCCATGGAAAAATATATATACACAATCAACAAAAGCGTCAATCGATGGACTTTTTTTATTAGTTGTACCGAAAACTGGTTCGTTATTTACATAGTATTTAATGTAAATTTAATTCTTTCGTGTTTTGTTCAAATAATAATAGAAGTTGAATATGATGCTAAACGTGATGAAAAAGAACAGCATGAAGCAAAAATGAAAGAAGTTCATCAGATTGAAGAACTTCGTAAAGAACAAGAAGCTCAAAGTAAAAATTAAAAAAAAAATTTTATTTTTATTATTTTTGAATTTATTTCTTTTCAATAAAGAAAATGCTAAATCATCTGATAAAAATAATGATACATTTATTGAACGCATGAAATTACAAGTTATACGAAATTTACAATTATCTATTCGAAATATACATGTTGTGTATGAAGATAAATCAGCAAAACCTGATCGTCCATTTGCTTTTGGATTTACGCTCAATTATATTACATTACACGTAGAATTGTCAAATAGTGTAAAGTCGATTGAAAATTTTTTACTTTTTTTTAGACTACAACTCCAACTTGGCAACGAACAATACTTAAAGAAGATACATCAGTAATTCATAAAGTAAAAGATTTCTTTTATATATTTTTATTTTTATTTTAATATTCTTTGAATAATATTCTATATAAAAGAATATTGATTGACAAGTCTTTTTATTAATAATTCAACAGCTGCTGATGCATGTATACATCAAAAGCTTTATCTTTGTGTGAACTGAAAAAGTTATTTATAGTACAGGTTATTTTGAAATACATTTACATAAGAACAAGCGATAGATATCGTATGCTTTTGAGCTCATCATTTTACAGAGATAAACCCTTGTATCATCCAATAAAAGATACATCAATCTTCTGCAAAATCGTTTCTTACCTCTCTTATGTTGACTACCAAAAAGTTAATGTAAAATCAGATATTGATTAAAGAACTCAATAGATTTTAAACAGAAATATATACTACAGATGAAATCGGATACATTTGTTAAAATTCAAACTTAATCGATCGCATCTTTCCTATATAACTCGATATGATTAATATTAAAATACAAATTATGTTATGAAACTTTTTTTTTCTAGCTTGGTGATTTAAGTGCTTTAGCAATTTATTGGAATACCAATGCTCACTCACGATCTGGATTATCAAGAGATGAAGTTCTTGTATGTCGAAAGTCTTTCTCTTTTGGTTTTTGGTCCGAGTTTTATTATTATTTTTTTTGAATCTAGAAAAATCTAAGACAAAGAATAGCAGTTAATAATCAACAAGCACCAACTGATATAGAATATAGTAAATTATTCATTTAGTTTTTTTTTTTGATATTCTTTAAATTAATTAATATTCAGTTCTTCGACCACTAAATATCAAAGCAAGAATTGTATTAGCGATGAAACCACGTCAAGAAGAATTTAAACGACCAATGTTTGATATTAAAGTTGATTTAGATGAAATTAGTTTAAATATTAATCGTGATCAAGTAAACACCAATAGAAAAAGAAAATTTTTTTCAATTTTTATCGTTTATTTTTTTCTTTTTCAAGTATTCNTTTAGAAGTTGAGGGATGTGAGTGGATTTGCTGTAACGACCTCGTTACATAAAGTGAACCATGTATTTGAAAGTTGAGGGATATGAGTGGATTTACTGTAACGACCTCGTTACATATAGATAGTTCACTTTATGTAACGAGGTCATTACAGCAAATCCACTCATATCCCTCAAGTTCAAAATACATAGTTCACTTTATGTAATGAGGTCGTTACAGTAAATCCACTCATATCCCTCAACTTCTAAACATATAGCTGGATCAATCTCAATTCACATCTCATTACGGAAAGGGTAATACCCTAAATCCACTCATATCCCTCAACTTCCATATAGATAGTTCACTTTATGTAACGAGGTCATTACAGTAAATCCACTCATATCCCTCAACTTCTAAAGACATAGTTCACTTTATGTAATGAGGTCATTACAGCAAATCCACTCATATCCCTCAACTTCTAAACACATAGCTGGATTCATCTTCATTCACGTCTCATTACGAGAAGGGTAATACCCTAAATCCACTCATATCCCTCAACTTCTAAACATATAGCTGGATCAATCTCAATTCACATCTCATTACGGTAAGGGTAATACACTAAATCCACTCATATCCCTCAACTTCTAAAGACATAGCTGGATTCATCTCAATTCACGTCTCATTACGGAAAGGGTAATACCCTAAATCCACTCATATCCCTCAACTTCTAAATACATGGTTCATTTGATACGCGAGGTGTGTAGTAGCGTAATGGCTTAGGAAAGATATGGATACGGGCTGTAACAGGATTATGACATCACTCCTTAATTGAAACGAGTACTATATCAACAAAAACAAAGAAATTGAACACGTTATTAATAGAAAAAAAATTTGTTATTGATAGTTGTTAAATCAATAGTAACACCAAAATCATTATCTACATGAAAAAATCTTAGTTGCATTTAAGGAAACAAGATGATGCAAAAATATGTTCTATACAATTACCATGAAGATTTATTTATTAAATTATTTTCTAGTACTAGTTCACTATAAACAAATCAATAAGCCATTTGGAATTGAGTTCCATAAACTATTAAAGTTAATTGTGTTGAATTTTCAATACTTCAATGTCGAGTATGCAGAACAACTAATAACATCATTATTAACAATCTAGCACACAAAAAAGTTTTGCTGCTAGACGATAATCATTTATAAGGAAGCTTTGGATGTACATTTTTGTATATTGAACACCAATCTGAAAGGATCCACAGTTTTCTACTAGTCTCATGCAGATTTTTTGCATTCTAACTAACAGCAAGAGTATATGTATGCTACAACGTGATCAGCATACTATCGGATGATTAATCTGAGACAAGCAGTCGAAATTGACTAATCCGGAGTCTATCCATGACTGGTGGTACTACCGAATTTTGTGTTTAAAATTAAAAATTGAGTAACTATTATATCAGAACTTGACTTGTATGTCGTTTTATTTCTTAGCCAAATGCTAAATATTTCGTTTCAATAAAAAACGTCCCATGTAATGTCTAGTATTTTCTAAATAGTTTGACTCGTATTGTAGGAAAACCAATAAAATTTTCTAATAATAGTAGATCTCAATAGTCTATATCAACAACAAAAATTTCAAAGATTTTTGCTTATATCATTCACTAGAAATAGACTTTACAATGTGTAAAGCAATGCAACTTCATAATCCTTGCCTGTTTCAATCAATGAGCGATTATTTTAATTGCGTACCAGATTTCAAAAAACCTAAGTTTTATGAGTCATTACTTAATTATTTGAATCACTAGATTTCATTAAATGCTTATATTATTATGGTTTATTTTAGATGCTCCAGCAGCACCTTCACTCAAGATCGATGCTGATTTAGAAGAATTTCGAATAATACTTGCATTGAAACAAGCAAAATTATTTGATATACAAGTTCAAGGTTTGAAAAACAATCGTTTTTGTTTTCTTTTATAATTCGAATTTCTATTTCAATTTAATTTAGGTATCAAAGCATACGTATCACAAGCACCAAAAAAGACATTAATCAATTTAATGCTCTCTGATTTACGTATTTTGGATCCATATAAAGAAGCACGATATCGAAAAGTATGAGAAAACAAAAAAGCAATATCAAATATTTTTTTTATTATTGTTTTTTTCAAATATTTTATTCAGATTATTTCTCAGCAAGGTGATGATAAAGAATTACTTCGTGTTGATTTATCTTTATTTACTTATCCTGGAGAATATCAAAAACCTATTGATGTTTTTGATTGTGATGTTAAAGTTCAATTTGCTAAAGCAAATATTGTTTTTCTTTTTAAACATATCGATGCAATTT